CATTATTTGAGACCGTCAGCAAGTGTCAGATTTTCGTAAGCTAGTGGCTTTTAATTCATAATGAATGACGTGCTGAATGTGTATCTCCGCTCCGCATTATTTATTGATAGAATTCTCTTAGAGTCTGCTACCATAACTGGTATGAGAGGCCGCCAGTGCACCAACTGAGGGGAAATGTACTTGCAGTAGCTCTGGGGTCAGAGAACAGCACAGCTCTCACTCTTGGCTTAGGTTTCAAAGACACATGTGGCTCAGGAAATCCCATCAGATCTGTGTACAGCCACTTGAGAGCCCCTGCAGCTCGGCAGGGTGACTGTAGCTATTTCAAAGCCCAGGGCCCATTATTGGCCCATGATGTAGAGACGAATTTCACCGAAGGCCACTGGAAGCAGGGGGCAGTCCACTTTTAGAGCTGCAGGCCGTGGTATATAAGGACATGTTTGCAAATACAGTCACCGGAGTACATTGGAAAGCTATTTTTAGAAGAACTTTAATAAGCGTACCGAATTAGCATGGGGCAAAATATAACCCATAATATGATTCCCTCCAGATATGAGCATGAGCCCTAGTTTATGACATCATCCAGGGCTTGAAGAAAGACCCTGCCATATAGAGAAAATGGGATTAATTTGATCATTTTAACCTAATCATTAACTAATTTTTGCAGAGTTGGTTAGAAAGAAGAGGGATTCACAGGTTGTTCTGAATGAAAAAAATTCAATACAGTAGTTTAACCAAACATTATGGAATAACCTCATGTCATTCCTAAGTGACTTTCTTTTTTTCTGTGGAACACAAAAGGATACATTCTGAATCACATAGTGATCACTGTTAGAAATTAATTTGAAGCATTCAAGCTTCAAAAGAGTGCAAAAGCACCATATCAAAAGTGGTCCATACGACCACTTGGGGTCCAAACCCATTCACTTGCTTTGTGTGAGCCAGAACAGACCGATTCACTGATAGTCTTCTACTGCAGTGTATTGTTCACCGCTGCAATCAAATGTTGAATTGAGCTGAACTTGCGTCAGTGAGACCTAATCATCGAGTCAGTGAGTAAAGCGTATCAATGAGACCAAATCATTGAGTCAGTGTGTTGAACTCAAGTCAGTGGACCTGGACCGAATCATTGAGCCAGTGCATTGAACTCGAATCAGTAGCACCAAATGATTCAATCAGTGAGCTAAACTCAAATCAGCAGCAACAAATCATTCAGTCAGTGAGTTGAACTCAAGTCAATGGGACCGAGTCAGTGAGCTGAATTAGAGTCAATGTGTTCGAATCATTGAGTCAGTGAGTTGAACTCAAGTCAGTGAGACCAAATCAGTGAGACTTAATCACTGAGTTCCTAACATGAACTCAAGAACTGGATCACAAAAAAATCATTTAGACTGGTTTTGTGAATTAAATCAACTGATTCATTGAAAACATAAGACACAAATTGATTCATAATTTGTTCATGATTCGGACAACGCTACTCATGAACGCACCAATTCTTGATGATTTTCAAGGAATAAAATTTCATGAGGGTGAAAAATAATGACAAATTTTAATTTGGGGGTAAACTATTGCTTTAAATGTTTGAATACAAGTTAGTTGGATGCAATCATTCTTAGTCCAGGTTCATCCTGCTCACCTTCAGTCATGTCTCATAAACTCAAAGGACGAATGTGACTCATCTGCCTTGCTGTCAGTCCAGACTGATCTTCACATGTTGTTTAGATGCTGGAGGACATGCGCTCCTTTTGCATCTGATTCCATTGGACAGGAGTGACTGACCTTGTCTGTGGACACAGAACTGCTGTGTTTATCAGTATTGAGGAACCTGTCACATCCATCTTCAGCTAATTGTCGCATTAGATTATTGATGTCAGGTATGAATGTGCCTTAACGACACAGGGGCTGCCAAAACAGCTCTCCATAAAGAAATCTATAGGCTCTGTCAATTCTGCATGCTGAGCGATTAAGCTAGCCTCACTCCCAGTCTAACTCCCCTTTGCTGTCCTGGAGCACATGAAGGGGAAAATTGCTTTCACAAGGTAGCAGTGAGTTTGGATCCTATCACAGGGACCTCTTATTGGAATGTCAGCTTTGATGAATGGATCCAAATGAACATTCTCCACATTGGAGGCCTTTCGTTGAGGAAGTGGATCGCTGCTGCTCTTGCTCTTCAGCAGCTGCTATCTGTTGATTCCTCTCACGGCGGGGGGAGGTGATGTGGGTCTGCATAAAAAAGCTCAGCTTGAGGTAATTCATACCACTCTGATTCATTAGAAACACTGGGACAAAGTAGGCCTCTAAATCCAAGGTCAAGGTCGACCTTTACACTTCCTGCTTCATGTTCCCTTGCTGATGTGGTTCAGATTCAGATGACTCCAGAGAGATCTCAAAATGGACGACTGGGCAAGCATACTTGGTTATTTAAGTTATTTTGAAACTTTTGAGCGTTCTAGGTCCAAAGTGAACTAGACTACCAACCAAATCCAAGATAAAACTGGCAGATATATTAGTTTGTGGTCAGTAAGATTTTAGATTTTTTTAATAATTAATATATTTATTCAGCAAAGATGAAATATTACAAAAGATTTCTACTTCAAATAAAAGTAATAAATCATAAATGGCATTTTAAAATATATTAAAATAGGAAAACAGTAATTTTAAATTGTATTCATATTTGATTACTTATTTTTACTGTATTTTTGATCAAATAAATTAAGCATTGGTGAGCACAAGAGACTTTAAAAAAAAAAAAAAAATCAATGATATATAAACCATCTACTAAAGAAAATAGTTGTTGCAACTGTCTTCAACTTTTTTCCTCAAAGGAAATTTCGGTAATACTTCCTTTTACAGTACAGTACTTAACGTGTACTTACAGTGTACTTACCTAGAAAGTACTGGCTAATATAAGGTAAGTACATGGGTTAGGGGTAGGTTTAGGGGTAGGTTCAGGGTTAGTACCTAGTTATTACCCAGTAATTATAATTACTATAATAAGTACATAGTAAGTACATGGACTGTAAAAGGAAGCGTTACCGAAATTTCCATATCAAAGTTTTTCTTCCATAATCTCATATGGTGACACAAATGTGGAATATTCCAAGCGTTAAGCAAACAAAATGGAAAAAGGAGAGAAACTAAATCATGATGCATCTTCGCATTTTTGCAGTAGGTGCAGTTTACCAGAGAAATGGACAATATTTTGTGTATGATGCTGCTAGTGACCTGTTTGTCACAAATAGCTGTTAGGCAAAACAGTTAAATAATTCCACTCTAAAAGAGACAACTAATATTTTAAAATTCAAAATAAATTTTCAGGCCAGTAAAAAATATTAAAGGCCAGTACAATTTCTAAATTCTTCTGCCAACTCCAAAAGGAAAAACCTGTCATAATTTCCTGACATTTCCGTCATGTTGTTCCAAAACCTGTACGACTTACTTTTTCTGTGAAATACAAAAAGACACATTTTTGATTAATGTACTGTACTCTTTTCCATTTGCAGTCACAGTGAATGGGGACTGGACTTAAAAAGTGATGTTATTTATATAATAACTGTTCGGAACTGCCTTGATCAGTGAGTTAGTGAGTTGAACTCTTTTTTTTGGAAACAAATCATTCAGTCTGGTTTTGTGAACTGAACCGAATCATTAAAACAATTTCTGTGAATAATGACTTAATTTCGGTCTGTTTCTCACACAAAGCTATCAAAATACTTCAGAAGACTGACAACAGAGTACAACTTATGTGGACTACTTTTATGGTGTATTTTAGAGCTTGACAGACCCACAACTCATTAACTTTCATTATATTGAAGAGAGAAGCTATGGTTTTCCTTAGAAATTCTCCTTTTTTTGAGTTCCACAGAAGAGAGACAGTTGCAAGGGTGTGGTATAACATGAGCATGAGTAAATGATGACAGAACTTTAATTTTTTTGGTGAACTACCCCTTTAAAGACCCTTTTGGACCAAGGTTGAGACAGAGTACAAGACTTGAGAGCTGCAGCTCATAAAACTACCTAGATCAAGCAAGTTCTTTGTCTTATGCTTGTTTTGGACAGAGGCTGATGAAGACACAGCCGATCCCAAATCAGATACCACAGGCAGACCATGTCGTACGCCAGAGAAGGATAAACATAAGCGCCTGAGAGTCTGCAGTATTTGTGGTGTGTACTCCCATGTTCTCTGCAGCGTTAATTGCTGCCGTTGTGCTATAAATAGAGCGCGCACATCCACGGCCAGGTTTCTTTGTCCCTCTCCTCTGGATTCAATATGCCGCAGCTATTTCTGTGAGTGCTGCACTCCAAAATAGCTGCTATTGAGCTCTAGTGGATCCCAGTCTGATTGCCTGTAGCACTAAAAATAGCACCTGTCAGATATTTTCTCCTGCGTGCCGACTGCATTCAGATGAGCTAAAGGGTATTAATATCCACCAGCGGCATTGTCATATCCTGCAAATGATCACACATAATGTGGGTGGAGTGTTTTTTGGGAGTGTGCGTGACTTTTATGATTGTGTGTGTGATGATGAGTGTAAGCTGACATCATCTGGCTCAGATGTCTCCTCTAGTTCGTTCTCAGTGACCTCCTGTATGTAGCCCAGGAAACCGCACTGTGATCCCATATGTGTGCACTGGAGCTCTGCGTATATATATATATATATATATATACAGTATATGTTTGCGATGCTGTTTTATACCCATGTTACAACTCTACAACTCAGCGGCAGCGCCAACACAGATTTGAATGTACATTTCAAAGGTTTTATATATATATATATATATATATATATATATATATATATATATATATACACTGTATGTATATGTATATATAAAAATCATTAACATTTAGGAATAAGATCGCGTAGGTGTTTGAATCGAGATAACGATCTTTTAACGATACAATATTGTTATTCATCAGCTGTAAGTTTCTCTTCTGTTCCTATGCATAAACAAAATACAGTGCAGAAAATGCCGTGCTAATGGATAAACCCACTTACATCTAGTTGTTGTATTGGCGGAGCTGCATGTTGTGTGCAACTCCCCCTGAGCTCCTGTGTCTGTCCCCTCTGACTCCAGCCATTAATCAAACTCCCCGCAGTCAGACCTGCATAATGCAAACCAGAGCTGACGACATGTGCAGCCCCTCGGCTCCTACCCACAGGAGAGAAGAGGAGAAGAGAAAAGAGGAGACAAATGTAAAAACAAACACATCAATAATTATAATTTCAATGACATGAATCTGTAACAGTGGGGTTTAATCCGTTATTTGTTGTCTGGCATTATGCACAAATTATTTTCCAGGAAAAATGTCCCTTTTCTACACTCCACTATTCCTCTTAAAGTCAACATGAAATGGTGTGCGCAACCCAATTTATATCAATAATATGACATTTCTGATTGAAACAGGACATTTAGAAACATACAGAATGCACAGATGAATTGTACATTAGATCTACAACATGCCTTTAAAAAATATAGTGAATAGGGTGAATTTTATTTCATTCTGACTTTAAACCACTTACTTTGTGGTTGACTCAACCTGATCATGATTTATTTTTAAGGGTTTTTCAAACTTTTTTATTCCTCTACAAAATAAAGACAGCTATACATCTCATATTTAAAAGACCTTTTTATACTGTCACTATGGAAAATGAAAATGTTTACTTTATATTAAGTTCTGCATCTTTTTTCTACCCATCATTAGAGTATAAAAATGAAGTGATTTAAAGAACTACAGCTATAAACAGAATATATAATTAACTGTGATTAATCTCCCGATTTCCAACTAGATTTATAGAAAGCAGAATAAAACTTTTCCGCTGACCCCCAAGATCTGTGTCCTAGATCATTGTATTTCAATGTGACTCATAATAAAACTGTGAATATTTCAATGACTGATAATGATATCTGTTTGCAAGCACAAGCACAAAAATAACCATAAAATATTCAAAGGACTATTTAGGACTTGATTGTAGGTTAGTAAAACACCTCAACTTGACCGCAGCATCATCATTTGGCCAACCCATCCCATAAACACTTCTATCCTTCCCCATTAATAGAACAACCCCTGAAACACATACTGCATGGCATATTCGCTAGCTATATTTGGCACAAAATGGAAAAAATAATAACTAACACACAAATCTAACACCCGCTGACTAAATTAAGCAATTTATATAGTGACACATCAATCCCTCTTTACTTTCAAACTAGTCTGGAAACACAATGCATTACTGACACATGATTATGGAAGATAGGAAGCTGTTGGTATGTTTTTTTTAGTGGGGTAAATTAGTGATATGCTCTTAGAAGGGGCAGGGGGGGATACTGCCCCCTACAGGATGGCATTGGGAACAGGATCTGTTTATATGAAGCACATGCCATAGAGGCAAGGTAATCTCACCACTGCATCAAACCTGCACACAAAGACCTGATAACATCATGAAAAACCTTCTGTCTGTCTCCAAAAGAAGTGCATATTTAAGATGATGCGAAGATAAGCTATCAGCTCTGAAACAAATTAAAGAACATTTACACAGACAGAATAAAGACACTGGAGTAACAAAACATTGGGAAATACGAACTGATCCGTGAAATTGTATAACAAGCTTTTTAAAGGAATTGTATAACAAGCAGTCGTTCATGTAATGCAAATACAACCACATGGGATCTTTGTTAGGAATATTCCAGGCTGTAATAATCAACAGCATTTGTGGCCAGTGCCATTATAGTATTAATTATAAATTATAGTATTTATTAATATTCTTAGTTATTTAAAAAAAAAATCATTTTAGTTTATGTTTGTCAGTTTGTTATGTGCTTTTGTCATTTTAAAAATATATATATTTTTACCATTTAATTTATTATTATTTCTATTTTACCTTGTTTTAGTTATTTTAACTTATTTTATTTCAGTTTATTTCAATGTATTATTAATTTATTTTTTACTTAAGTTTTTCATCAAAAATGTATATTTAATTTAAGCTGTATTTCAATTAACAAAAATAATTGGTAACACTTTAGTTTAGGGTCCAATTCTCACTATTAACTAGTTGCTTATTAGCATGCATGTTAGGATATTGGCTGTTTATTAGTCCTTATAAAGCACATATTAATGTATTAATGCCTTATTCTGCATGACCATATTCTACATCCCTTAATCCTACCCAATACCTAAACTTAACAACTACCTTATAACTATTAATAAGCAGTATTTAGGAGTTTATTAAGGCAAATGTCATAGTTAATAATGAGAATTGGATCCTAGACTAAAGTGTTACCATGATTTTTAAGTTTCGGTTAATAATACCAGCACTGTTATTGTTTGTGGCATTATACTGATTACCACAAAAAGTTATTTTTAACTAATTTCATAAATGTGATGCTTATTATTTTGTAAAAGCACTTAGATTATTTAGTTCGAACTTGTCTATTATTTCAGCTGTAAAATTGTTTGTCTTTTTTTAAGGTGGTTTTAGGTCCTGTCATGGCAACAAAGTTGTAAAACTGGACATAATTTCACACAGAAAAAGTTACCAAGCAATTTTTTTCAAATCACGTTTTTGCTGTACTATGAAAATAATGAGTACCGGTATTTTAACTTGCTAACAACGTCGCTTCCATTTTCACTTCCATTGTAAGTGTCTCACTCACTGTATTTTTGCTTTATTTTAAAGGAAACAAGGGACAAAATCAAAAGGAATTTGGAAAATTTTAAGCGATCAGCTTTATACAGATTTTTAAAGCGAATGCCATTGAAACACGGCAAGTCTATCCCTGACAGCCTCGCTTTCATGCCTGTTATGGCGCTGCTCTGAATAAGGTCTATAAAGGTGACTACTGTACTGTCAAACAGCTTTCCATACAATCACAAACCATGAAGAACTGACAAACAAGCAGCACGTATGCACACACACATACACAAGCCCAGCAGGGAAGCATCGGGCCGATACTGTATCAGTGCTCAAAGCCAGTGAGTAGCTCCCTCTCGTCTGGGTTATTCTGCCTAATCCCATCACAAGACAAATCCCCTTTAGCCAAACACACACACACATGCACCAAAGTCCATAGATAACAGGTTTGCACAACTGAAACCAGCTCAGTCAGACAGTTGTGTCTGCACCAAAATAGTGTACATCACATGTGATTCTTGTTTAATTTTGTGTCAGTTAAAGAAGCAGAGAAGATGGATTGCAGAGGGTGAATGGGGGAGGAGGATGAAGCTGAATGGTTTGCTCTCCAGGATCAGAGGCCAGTGGGGCCTCTTCGTCTCCTCCTCCTCTGCTCTAGCACCGACATGACGCCGCAGGGGTCACCAGGCCTTTTCTGGGAGCGGAATGTACCACAAAAACAATCCCTGTTACACCCTCACCAACCAGAGAGGACATGGATGATACTAATCCAACATCACAAACTAATGCGATTTATGACAGAACTGACCATCGACCCAATCCTCTTCATGTATGCCGAGGATGTAACCCAAATATTCGAAACTGAAGGAGGGGACAAGTGTTTAAAGTGCCCCTATTATTACCTTTCATGTAGTGTGTAATATAGCCGTTTGTGAATATAAAAAAGTTTAAAAAAAATAAAAGTGCACAATAAATGGAGTTTTTGTCTCACAAAAGAAATAACCGATTCTGAACAGTAATTCCAGCCTTACTTCCTGTACAAACCATAGTAAGTTGGAACAAATGTGCACAATGCCAGCCTATGGACTATAGACCAGTCACAACAGACTGGGTCATCTGACCAATCAGAGCAGAGTTGGATTCTGGAATGGTTTGAGACTGAATCCTTTATCAAACGGTTTCAGACACAGTGAGAAAAGAGGTGATGCTGCAATGTACTTTATATTAAGAGAACATTAAAGTGTTTTTTTTTACCTTGACCACCAACCTTTTGTAGGTAACCCTTAAAACAGCATAATTGGGGAATTTTAAAATGCATTTATATCTTCATAGACAACTGTATTGAAAAAAATTATGTATTTATATGATGATAAAGCTGAATTTTCACCACTCAGTCTTTAAATGTCTGTTTAAAGAGATAGTTCACCCAAAAATACAAATTCTGCCATCATTTACTCACCCTTTAAGTTGTTCCAACATGTATTTCTATCTTCTGCTGAACACATAAGAAGATATTTTGAAGAATGTCTGTAACAAAACAGACATTTAACAGAGCCATTGACTTCCATCAAATTTTTTTTTTAGGTCAGTGGGGCCCACAACTGTTTGGTTACCTATATTCTTCAAAGTGTCTTCTTTTGTGTTCAGCAGGAGGAGGAAACTCATACAGGTTTGGAACAACTTGAGGGTGAGTAAATGTCATGATGATAGAATTTTTCATTTATGTGTGAACTATCCCTTTAATATTTGGTGGAAATTGTGACACATTTTTCTTCAGGAGTTTTGATGAATAGAAAGTTCAAAAGAACAGCATTTACTTGAAATAGATATATTTTGTAACATTATAAAAGTCACCTTTGATCAATTTAATGCATCATTGTTGAATAAAAGTACTAATTTCTTTCAAATAAAAACTTTTGAATAGTAGTGTATTTACCTGCATGTCATGTGACCATTAACAGTCATCAGAGAACCATGAACATGTACATGTGTTGTTAAATTATTGAAATATTAACTTTTCATTTCAAATGGTACTTAAAGTAAGTATTTTAGGTCAAAGGTGTTCAGGGTGGAAAATTTGGGAATTCCTGGTCTAGGAGAAACAACTAAGATATTGAAGAGGGTTCAATTTTGAGTATTTGTTCTCTCATTCAGTTTCCTCCCCACTGCTGTTCTGAGTCTCAAATCCTGACAGTTTAACAGTTCAATCCGTTTGCATATTCCTGAGGTGTTAATGTATTACCAGAGAGAATTAACAGATGCCAAGCAGTCAAATAAAAACCTGTCCAATAAAATCTGCACACTGAGTGCGGCTGGTAACGCTCGGCTCAAGCACACACACTCTTGAACGGAAGGAGCAGTGAGGCATGTTGCCTTGACGTAGCACTGCTTTGTGCTGACAGCAGGAGAACACAGAGGAAACACTGAGTACACATTGTGCACACAGAGGAAACCTGATATTCCTGTTCCCAGCAGAGGACAGGCACCACAACCACACACAGAACACTGTGAACA